CAATTGTGCATTTTATTTTGCCATCAGCAAGTTATGAGAGCTCAAACTGTTCCACACTCTCACTAACATTTGGTAGTATCATTATTTAAAATTTTTATATATTTTAGTTGGTGTGTTGTTTTGTGATTTCCCCCCCTTCATCTAAGGGGTAAATGACATTGAACTTCTTTTCATGTGTTATTAGTCATTTATATTTTCTTTTGTAAAGTATATATTCAAGTATTTTGCCTATTTCTAATTGGGTTTTTTTTGTGTTTTTATTTTTTTAAGTTTATTTATTTATTTTGAGAGAGGGAGAGCATGCATGAGAGCAGTGTAGGGGAAGAGAAAAAGGGAGAGAGAGAATCCCAAGCAGGCTCTGAACTGCCAGCATGGAGCCCAATGTGGGACTCAATCTCACCAACCATGAGATCGTGACCTGAGCCAAAATCAAGAGTAGGATGCTTAACTGACTGAGTTACCCAGGTGTCCCTGTGTTTTCACTTTTTACCTTTAAGAGTTCTTTATGGGGGCGCCTGGGTGGCGCAGTCGGTTGAGTGTCCGACTTCAGCCAGGTCACGATCTCGCGGTCCGTGGGTTCGAGCCCCGCGTCGGGCTCTGGGCTGATGGCTCAGAGCCTGGAGCCTGTTTCCGATTCTGTGTCTCCCTCTCTCTCTGCCCCTCCCCCGTTCATGCTCTGTCTCTCTCTGTCCCAAAAATAAATAAACGTTGAAAAAAAAATTTAAAAAAGAATTCTTTATGTATTCTAATTATCTGATCTTTGTAATGTGTACGCATTATGACTATTTTCTCCCTAGTCCATGGCTTATATTTTCATTTTCATAATAATATCTTTGATATGCAAAAGTTTTTAATGTTGATGAAGGTCAATTTATCAATTTTTTATTTTATGTTTTTCTTCTGTTTTAGGAAATATTTGCCTATCTCAAAATTATTAAGATATTCATCCATGTTTTCTTCTTTATGCTTCATAGTTTTAGTATTTATGTTTATGTCTATGATTCATCCTAAATTAAATTTTGTGTATGGCATGAGGTAGAGTTTAAGGTTAATTTTCTTCAATAATCAGTGGTTTATGACACTTCCTTTCCTTATTTAATGGCATTGGTAACTTTAGAAAAAGTTAATTGAAGTTATCAAGGCAGTGTGGTGGTGGCAGAAGGATAGACACAACAATGGAATTGAATTTAAAAGTAAGAAATAGACCCATTCAAATATGTCCAAATGATTTTTATAAAAGTAATTCAATAGAGTAAGAGTAGCCTTTATATATATATATATATATATATATATATATATTCCATTGGAATGGAATATATATAAATATTCCATTTATTCAAAATAAACAAATATGTAGAGACAGACATAGGTTAGTGGATACCCAGGGATGGGAGAGATGGGAGTGAATAGGGAGTAAGGAGGGTTCCGTTTCTTTTCAAGTTAATGAAAAATTTCTAAAGTTGATTGTACTAATGGATGTACAACAATGTGAATATATTAAACCACTGAACTTGTACACTTTATATATTTATTTATTTTTGGGGAGAGTGAAAGTGGGGAAAGGACAGAGAGAGGGAGACAGAGGATCTGAAGCTGGTTCTGCACTGACAGGCTGACAGCAGTGAGTCTGACGCGGGGCTCAAAATCACGAACTGCAAGATCATGACCTGAGCTTAAGTCAGACGCTCAACTGACTGAGCCACCCAGGTGCCCCTGTACGCTTTATTTATTTATTTATTTATTTATTTATTTATTTATTTAAATATAAGTTAGTTAGCACATACTGCAATCATGATTTCAGGAGTGAATCCAGTAATTCATCTCTTATGTATAACACCGAGTGCTCATCCCAACAAGTGTCTTCCTTATAATGCACCTTATCCATTTAGTGCATCCCCCCACTCACAACCCCTCCAGCAACCTTCATTTTGTTCTCTATATTTAAGAGTCTCTTATGTTTTGTCCCCTTCCTTGTTTTTTTATATTATTTTTGCTTCCCTTCCCTTATGTTCATCCGTTTCGTATCTTAAATTCACATACGAGTGAAGTCATATATTTGTCTTTCTCTAATTTTGCTTAGCATAATACTCTCTAGTTCCATCCACGTTGTTGCAAATGGCAAGGTTTCATTCTCTTTGATTGCTAATAGTCCACTGTATGTATGTGTGTATATATATATATATATATGTATGTATGTGCATATATATATATTTATGTGTGTGTGTGTATATATATATATATATATATATGTATATATATATGCCACATCTTCTTCATTCACTCATCAGTCAATGGACATTTAGTCTCTTTCCATTCTTTGGCTATTGTCAATAGCGCTGTTATAAACATTGGGGTGCATGTGCCCCTTTGAAACAGCACACCTGGATCCCTTGGATAAATACCTAGTAGTGTGATTGCTGGGCCATAAGCTAGTTCTATTTTTAATTTTTTTTAGGAACCTCCATACTGTTTTCCAGAGTGACTGCACCAGTTTGCATTCCCACCAGCAGTGCAAAAGAGATCCTCTTTTTCTGCATCCTCACCAACATCTGTTGTTGCCTGAGTTGTTAATTTTAGCCACTCTGACTGGTGTGAGGTGGTATCTCATTGTGGTTTTGATTTGTATTTCCTTGATGATGTGTGATGCTGAAAATTTATCATGTGTCTGCTAGCCATCTGGATGTCTTCTTTGGAGAAATGTCTATTCGTGTCTTCTGCCCATTTCTTCACTGGATTACTTGGTTTTTGGGTGTGGAATTTGATAAGTTCTTTATAAATTTTGGATACTAACCCTTTATCTGATATATCATTTGAAAATATCTTCTCCCATTCCATCAGTTGCCTTTTAGTTTTGTTGATTGTTTCCTTTGCCATGCTTACACTTTTTATTTTGATGAGATCCCAATTTTGCTTTCATTTTTGCTTTTGTTTCCCTTGCCTCTGGAGATGTGTTGAGTAAGAAGTTGCTGCAGCCAAGGTCAAAGAGGCTTTTGCCTGCTTTCTCCTCAAGAATTTTGATGGCTTCCTGTCTTGTGTTTAGGTCTTTCATCCATTTTGAGTTTATTTTTGTGTATGGTGTAAGAAAGTGGTCCAGGTTCATTCTTCTGCATGTCACTGTCCAGTTTTCCCAGCACCATTTGCTGAAGAGACTGTATTTCATTGGATAGTCTTTCCCGCTTTGTCAAAGATTAGTTGGCCATGCGTTTTTGGGTCCATTTCTGGGTTCTCTATTCTGTTCCATTGATCTGAGTGTCTGTTTTTGTGCCAGTATTATACTGTCTTGATGATTACAGCTTTGTAATACAGCTTAAAGCCCGGGATTGTGATGCCTCCAGCTTTGGTTTTCTTTTTCAGGATTGTTTTGGTTATTCAGGGTCTTTTCTGGTTCCATACAAATTTTAGGAGTGTTTGTTCTAGCTCTGTGAAGAATGCTGCTGTTATTTTGATAGGGATTGCATTGAATGTGTAGATTGCCTTGGATAATATCTACATTTTAACAATATCTGTCCTTTGAATACAGGAGCATGGAATCTTTTTCCATTTCTTTGTGTCTTCTTTAATTTCTTTCATAATCTTTCTACAGTTTTCAGTGTATAGATTTTCCACCTCTTTGGTTAGGTTTATTCCTAGGTATTTTATGGGTTTTGGTGCAACTGTAATTGGGATCAATTCCTTGATTTCTCTTTCTGTTGCTTCATTATTGGTGTATAGAAAAGCAACCAATTTCTGTGCATTGCTTTCATATCCTGCAACTTTGCTGAATTCATGGAATATTTCTAGCAGTTTTTTGGTAGAATCTTTTGGGTTTTCCATATAGAGTATCATGTCATCTGCAAAGAGTGAAAGTTTGACTTCCTCCTTGTCGATTTGGACACTTTTTATTTTTTGTGTTTTCTGATTTCTGAGGCTAGGACTTCCAATACTATGTTGAACAACAGTGGTGAGAGTGGACATCCCTGCCGTGTTCCTGACCTTAGGGGGAAAGCGCTCAGTTTTTCCCCATTGAGGATGATATTAACATTGGGTCTTTCATATATGGATTTTATGATCTTGAGGTATGATCCTTTTATCCTTACTTTCTTGAAAGTTTTTATCAAGAAAGGATGCTGTATTTTGTCAAATGCTTTCTCTGCATCTATTGAGAGGATCATGTGGTTCTTGTCCTTTCTTTTATTAATGTGATGTGTCACATTGATTGATTTGTGTATATTGAACCAGCCCTGCAAGGGACAGACTTTCAAGCAATTGTCCTGGGGCAACTGGACATCCATAGGCAAAAATATGAACCTCAACTTAACTTACACCTTACAAAAATTACTCAAAATGGATCATGAACTTTAATGCAAAACATGAAACTATAAAACTCTCAGATAAAACATGTGATAATATTTGGGATATAGGCCTGGGCAAAGACTTCTTAAACTTTAACACCTAAAGCATAGGCAACAAAAGAAATACTGACAAATTAGACCTCATTGAAATTCAAAACTTTTACTCTATAGAATACTCAAAAGAATGAAAGAGACAAGCAACAGAAAGGGGAGAAAATATTTGTAACTCAAGTACCCAACAAAGGATTAGTATCTTAAACATACAAAGAGCTCTCAAAATTCAACCATAAAAAAAATCCAAGCAAAAAACATGAAGAGACATTTCACTGAAGATAATACACATATAGTAAGTAAGCACATGAAAATTTGCTCAATATCATTAGTCATCAGGGAAATGCAAATTAAAACCACAATGAGATATCATTATAGACCTATCAGAAAAGCTGAAATGAAAAATACTGGCAATATAAAGTGTTGGAAAGGTTGCACAGAAAATGGATCTCTCATGCATCACTGGTGAGAATGTAAAATGTTTTACCCACTCTGGAAAACACTTTGGTTGTATCTTAAAATATTAAACATGTAACTACCAGATAACCCAGCAATTATACTCAGGGATATTTAGCCCAGAATAATTAGAACTTGTGTTTACACAAAAACCTGTACATGAATGTTCATAGCAACTTTATTCACAGTAGAAAAATACTGGAAACAGCTCAGATGTTCTTTGATTGGTTAATGGTTGAACAAACCCCCCAAAATAAATGAATCAATCAATGAATGAATGGCCATATATGTATAGGTATATTACTGGATTCTAATCTGTTCCATTGACTTATTTGTCTACAATATCATACTGTTTTGATAAGTGTAGTTTTACAGAAGTCTTGAAACCAAGAAGTGTAAGTTCTATTTTCCCTATTTGTAAAGATTTGTTGGAAACCCCAAGACATTCAAACATCTTCACAGCTTTGTCTTCTCTAATGTCTTGTTCCATGGATTTAATTTGGTTAGCTGCTCTGAACTCTGATCCTTGCCTCCTGAGGTTAGTGAGAATGCTAAACTCATCTTGGAATGTAGCTTTCTATGTTGGCGTCAGAAAATTGACACCAGGCAAAGAATGGAGTGATCCTGGGGGCTTACCTTGTGAGTTTCTCTTTTAATGTAAATCACAGTCATGTGCTGACTATTGTTCAATACCTGTAAACAGTTTCTTGGCATATATTATGCAGTTAATGCCTGTAAACAGTTTCTTTGCATATATTATGCAGTTTTATGATTTCTGTAATAGCATGAGTGCTAGTCTGGTGCCATTAACAATATAGATTTATTAAACTTTCCTTTGTTTAAATCATGCAGATTCAGCTTCTGTCGCATGCAGCTAAGAGTCCTGACTGACGCAAGCTGTTACTTTATGTCATGCTCTATGATAGTTGCTTAGAATTTATTATGTGACTTAATCCTTATTTGGGGAAATCCTTCCTTGTAGAAAACAAAGCATTGGGGAAGAGGCATTTCTCTCTAACAGTGGTAAGAAGGGTAAGCAGGTTTCAGTGAGAGAAACTTTCTAGATGGACTAGGCATATATAAATGCACAAGAGAGTGAACACGACAAGAAATAAAATATGAAACCTTTGGCATTTTCATGGGACTAGTCCTGAGACCTTCATAAGTTCCCCTAATCTAATAAAACCACTATACCAGAGAATTTCCTCCATAAAATGCAGTAAGATGCAATTGTTCATACAGTTTAAAATCCTATAAGATTATCTTAAATGCCCTTCCCATGCCTATTAACACTAGGAAAAGCAACCATCCCAGTTTACCTTGGAGTATCATAGTTTTAGGAAAACCTTTAGGGAATCTCTCAGTCTCAGGCAAACTGGGATGGTTGGTCACTCTTGAAAACTGTCCTTTACTATAATATGACATCAGTCACTTAACTACAGTTAATTGGTCTTGATGACTTAAAGCTTGATGATGAATCCCTCTCCCAGTGTCTGTGGCAGGTGCCTTTCAGATTTTCTTTCAAGAGAAAATCTACTGTGGGCAGTGGAGTTAGACAACAGCCTCCAGCTGTAGCACTTTGGGGATATTTTTGCGTCATTTTACCCAAGGCCATACCCATCCCAGGCATCTCCAGTCAATTTCTGAGCACAGAAGGGATATTAGGAACATTTATGCTCAATGTGGGATTCTTATAATTAGTAATCTTTGCTCTAGAGTTCCCAGTTGGGCTGGCTGGAAATTCCACAGAGTTGCACTGCAGTCTGAGGCATTTTGTACCCATTCCTCCTTAATTTCCTCTCCTTTAATAAGTGTCAGACCTGTACTATGGTCTGAATTCTCCCCTGCCTACTCCTGCTCTTCCTCTTTATCTTCTTAATCATTACCCACAATAGATCTCTGGACTTGTAACTTCATCTTGGCATCTGCTTTTCAGAGGACCCAATGTGGCATTGGGCATCTCTCTCCAGTGGTTGAAGCTGTAAGATGAAAATTTGGGAAGGTATCAGTAACCATATTTCTTATTGCATGAACTTGAGAAACAAAGGAAGATTTTAAAGGAGATGGGGGAAGGAGAGAGAAAGAAAGGGAGAGGGAAGGAGAGAGAGGAGAGAGAGGACAGAGACAGGGAGAGAGTGTGAGCACAAATGTGTAGGGAAGAATATGGATAAAAGAATGATAGAGCTATAATGGCATTTGAATAATTGCCATTTGACCATTCTTGAGGCCTAACTGTATCTTGCCCTTTCCAAATTTTGATTGTTCCACTCCTTAAATTTTGTGACAAACTCCATATCTTTCCACAGATTTCTCTCTCACTTAAGTTAGTTTCAGGTAGATTTGTGTCCCTTTCAACTAATGAAATACCTCTTCACTGCGAAAGTTATTATACACGCTACTGATTTTGTGCTGAGTCATATTTCTGTTAAGTCAGAAATGTTCATACCCTGCTCATATCCTCAGGCATAAATTAATACAACACTTTTAAGGTTTACCATGTTTTTGTTCATTGGTAGATGAGGAAAATTTTGCATGGCCTACATGATTTCTGAGATGTTTTAGCATTTACTTATTTCTGTATAGAATATATAGAATTGTTGTCATAGACCAAAGCCTCAGCCAAATTCGACATTGCACTTTGTCCAGAATATTTATTTTCTGATTAAAAGTCACTTTTAATCATATAATAAAGGTTAGTTTTAATATGAATTTTTTCTTTCTTTTCTTAATTATTTTTAAGCTTTTCAAAGGTCACTAGTAGCTTCCTTTAAGGACCATTTTGATAAATCAAAATTCAAAAATCACAATATACAGTTTGAATCACTTTTCAACAACTCTTAAGGTTGTGAGCAATTTAGAGAGTATGAAAGCTTCATTCAGATGCTGACAAAAGTAAGATATAGAAGTTGGCCAAAGATGAGAGCTCCTACACATCACCCTTCTAGAACATTCATGCAAGAATGGTGCTGATTTGGTCTGGGGCAGGGCTGTCAACTTATAGCCCACAGGCCAAATTCTACCTCTTTCTTGTTTTTGTAAATAAAGTTTAATGGAATACATTCACACTCATCATTTAAGTGTTGTTTGTGGCTGCTTTTGCTCAATGAAGGTAGAATCAAGTAGTAACGGAGACTGTATGTGTCCCACAACACCTAAAATACTTACTATCGACCCTTTACAGAAAAAAAAATGCCAACCCTCAGCCTCAAGTATTATCAGTACATGTGGAGACGAACAGATGAGCAGATTATATTTTTGGAAGCAGAGCAGGAGCAAGCCTGGTGTATTCTAGAACACAAGGAAGACCAGTGTGGTTGAAACATAAAGGACCCACATACTCTTGTGTATTTTTTTAGCACATTTGTACCTATTGATTTTTGAGACATTAGTTCACTCACTCAACAAATGTTCTTTAAGTTCCCACTCTGTGCTAGACAGTGTTAGCTACTTCACACACACAAGCACATAGAATTGTAATAAGGGAAAGCAGCAAGTAAACAATCGCAACACAGAATAGTAAGCACTAACTAAAAATGCAATTGATGCCAAAAGGAGGAAATTAACTTTTGTTTCACCGCCCACTCAATACTTATCTGATATTCCAAGGTACCTTCCTCAGATTATACCTGAACCACATCTTATCTGGTTGGTCATAGCTCCCTTCCTTCATTCACTAAAACGCATCATTATAACATTAATAATCATAAGCATAGCAGCCAGTACTCACTGAGCAGTTACTGTGTGTCAGACACAGCTGGGTACTTTATACACATTCTTTTATTTAATTATCACAACCCTGTAATATAGAGACTATTATTATGCCCATTCGTAAAATCAGAAACTGAGGGTCAGAGACCAAGGTCTCGTGTGTGTCTCACAAAGTAGCACTCAGGACATCCACAATTTTCTTCCTCATCTACTCTGGCTTGCTGCTGATGCATAATGTTATGATCATTGCTGCTTGATGGTATCACCTACCAAAGGCACCACTACCCCTGCCAATACCAACCAATGTCTATACCAAATTCTTCTGTCTAGAGCATTAATGTTTGACTCCAGGTTATTGTTTCTCATAGATGTCCTATATCTGGGAACAATGAACATATTTTGTGAAAGAGTTCTTTGTAGTTTTTACTTGTGCTTTTATTACAGTTCCTGTCCTCAGGTTCGGAGCCAGATTACCTAGGTTTGAATCTCAGCCCTGAAACTTAACTATTCTGCGATTCTGATGAAATCACTTAAGTGGTCTGTAACCCTGTTCCATTATCCTTAAAGCAGAGATAATAATGTTGTCTACATTAGTGTTTGTTATAAAAAAAAAAACTTGGCCCAGCATTTGGCATATAAGGCAGGTTCAATAAATGTTGGTTATATTACTAGGGCAAATGACTTCTTTTTCCAACTGTTAAACAGGCTTTATCTACCAACCTCTTGCCTCTTTCTGGGTACTAACTATCTGTTGATTTCACCTTACCTTTACTGATCTTACTCACTCTAATTAATACTGTCATGCTCCTTCCTATTATAGGACCTTTGATCAGGCTGTCCCTTCTGTGTAGAATGTTCCTTTTCCTGTTTGCCTGGCCAATTCCTATCAGTTCATTAAGCTCCATAAGGGCACGGACTCTATCTGGTTTGTGTTTACCATTTTACACCCAGAGCTTGATATCGTACCTGCTGTACAGTAGGCACTCATTAATACTGGCATGAAAACCAGCCTGAGTCTAGAGTCACTACATTCAGCTATTCCTCTGTATATGAATTCACATCCTAGACTAGCTAGAGCCTTTTCTTCTGTCTAATCACTGGTTCTAGACAATTTTCAACAAATATTCAGTAAATACATACTATATGTTAGGTTCTGTGCTAGGGTCTTAGAAAATAAATTTTATAATTTATTATTTAAAATTTATTTAAAACTATATATTTTTCTTACCATCTCAAGAGGCCACTTGTTCATTGAAAGACACAGGCATGCAAAGGTAGAAGTAATAATACAGAGTGATATTTGCTATACCGAAGGCCTGTACTGGATCCATTGGGCATATTGAACCCATGGAAAAGAATAGAAATTTATCTGGAAAGAGAGAGACTGATTCATAGAGGAGATAATATCTAAACTGAGTCAAAATAAGGAGTAGCAATTTTCCTAAAGAACAAGTAGGGGTAGAGCGTGTGGCAGAAAGATTTTCAGGACAAAATTATGAAGTCATTTCCTTCTTTTATTGGTGGTGTTACAAACCATTTCCTTTATTACCCTTTGATATTAGACGAATTATTTTTCATCTGTAATAAGTGCAATACCGGTCAGTTTATTTTTCACTGTCTGTACATTTGTTTGTTCTTGCTCTAGATTTCTTTTTTCCCTTTGTTCTGGATTTCATTTTCATTGTATATACTATTTCAGTGCAGTTTTTGGTCTTTTTGTAATATGTGTTCTTAAATTTTTAAGTGCATAAGCTGTGCATTCGTGATGGCTCCTTCCATTCCAATGTTCATTGTATTTAGCACTGTACAGGGGCCCTGGATTCAAGTAGCTCAAATGAACTCCTGGGAGTCCAGCAGTGAGTGGTATGCGGCTTAAGTTCAAGAAAGTGGTGCAAGGAAGTGGAAGAATTTTTGTTCCAGCAAACCTCGATAAGCAACCTCAGTAGTGGGGAGAGTCAGGAGGGGCACAGAAAAGGCAAACAAGGAAACCTAGGTGTTACACCCAGTATACTTTTATGAGTCCGTGTATTCTCCTCTCTGTGCGTGGGGCTCCAAATCTGTCAAACTAAGGCCATCGACTAGGGCACCCCGTCGCCACCCTTCTGGACCAGAGGCTGTAGCACACCCCCGCAGCAGTCCGGGTCCCGGGCGCACAGGACGCGCACCCACAAGGCCGGAAGAAGTGGGGCGGGGCCTCTAGGCAGTTGGGCCTGAACGGACTGGGGGAGGGGAGCGCGGGGCAGATGGTCTCTGGGAAAAAGCAAAAGGCGGGTGCAGGGCTGCCTCCCAAGGCTCTACTTGCTTGCATTTCCTCCCGCTTTGCTGAGTTGGGAGTCGCGACCTCCAGGACAGGTGGGTCCCGTCCCACGGATCGGGAAGGGGTGTCTTTGGTGGGTGCAGTGGCTGGGTTAGCCCGGGCGCTCTATTGAAGGCCTGGCACGGGAGGCGGGGTGAGGGGAATGGTTCCCACCCCGTCTGCTCGGTACCAGGGCGGTGGTACTTACCTTAACCCTGGCTGAGGAGAAGGCCGCTCGTGCATTTCCGCAGGGCTGTCGTCACGGTTTATGCCAGTTGCGCGACAAAGCCCGGAGATCAGCGCAGGGCCAGATGGGCCTAGCGCTCGGAAAGAGCTGGGAGAGCTGAAGGAAGCTCGGGTGCGGAGTGACGCCCAGTGTACATTGTTTCAAACTCGATCCGACTTCCCCGCCCTGCGTCTGTCACCGACTTGGTGTCTAGCTTTCAGAGAGCCCCTAGCCTGTCCATGTCTCACTTTGTTGGGCGGTAGAGTGGAAGGTGGAACTCCTTTCGTTATAATATCCACCAGTGTTGTCTGCGCATTGCACCCTTCTCCTGCCCCTCCCGAGCAAGAATGCCTAGCAGGAGTCGGGAGTGGCAGGGCAGGGCAGCGGAGACCTTACGCGAGGAAGTGCTCTCCCTTACGAAAACAATTCTGAAAACCCTTTTCAACATTTTTAACTACTGACTGCCCCCGAAACTGGAAAAGGCATTCATCCAATGCCCTAGAGGTGAATGTCCACTCTGGAAGAATGCTTTTGTGAATGCTTTACTGTTAAAGATTTTTAACCAAATGATTGATCAAAACATTATGAGTTGAATGAACGTAACACAATGCCTAGCAAAAGTCTCCTCATAAAAGACTTGGGTGGTTTACCTGTTACCCAATCGCTGCAAAAAACAAAACAAAACAAAACAAAAACAAAAACAAAACAAACAAACAAACAAACAAACAAAAACCTTGAGCTCTCAGATGGAGAAACACTTCCATAATCCATTCCCACATAGCAGTCGTTTAGAGTTGCTTCTTGGGGCGCCTGGGTGGCTCAGTCCGTTAAGTGTCCGACTTCTGCTTGCGTCATGATCTCGCAGTTGGTGGGTTCGGGCCCGCGTCGCGCTCTGTGCTAACAGCTCAGAGCCTGGAGCCTGCTTCGATTCTGTGTCTGCCTGTCTCTCTGCCCCTCCCCCACTCACACTCTGTCTCTCTCTCAAGAAATGGATAAACATTAAAAAAAAAATTAGAGTTGCTTCTTAGCTGGCATTGTCCTTTGAGGAATCATTATAGTAAAACTTACATACAGTTTATTGTACATTAACTCTAGAGATAGAAGTATAAACACTATGGGCCAACATTTTGGTGTCATTCCAATTCCATCTCATTAAGAAACTGCTTATAATGATAATGGCAGCCATATACTATGCAAAATCCTGTAGTCTTCACAACCCTGAGACATGAATGTATTTGTCACCATACTTAAAGATGTGTTCTATCTCATAACCAATATGATGAAGGGAATGGTCACTGGGTTAGTTGAGTCTGAGGCGCATCGTCCACGTACCCCATCTCATTCTTATTTCTGGGAAATCTGCACTGGGACAGATCACTTCCTGGTTTTGGTCTCTGTACCAGGAACCACAAGCAGTTCTGTATCTCTGCTTGTCAGCCCTGGCTGGGAGAGGCAATAAAATATCCAAGCTGATCACTTGATGTCTGTGGTGTTTCTGGCAGTTGTATTTTTTGCCTGCCAGCCCGAGGGTCGGGGGGAGAGGCTGGATTAAGAAACCCGTTTGGTGGGAAGAGTCTCTGATCCACGCCAAGGTGAACACAGATCCACCAGTTGGGTGCCATTGTGACCCTGTTTCCACAACACCAAACACCCCCTGTGCTCCTAAGGGTTGTACGCTGTGCCATTGGCCTCATGTAAAGAAATTACAGAAGAGGCTCCTGGCAAAACCCGGTCTGTGCCACACCTACAGGTTCTAGGCAACGAGTGTCTGATGTGAAGGTGGGTGTTCTTCTGGACCTGAGATATGGCGATTTTCCAAACGGTTGATAAAGTGAGAGGGAAACTGTGATAGACCTCTGCTGAGCTGACCTTGAGGGTGAGTTTAGGACTGGCTGTTTGGCAGGCACTGGTGAATGAGCTTTGTTTGGCCGTATTTCTACTCTATTCATTTATTCTTTCACTCCAAAGACAATCAATGAATGCTTAGTCTGTGCCAGCATGCTGATCCACTCACTGAGATTAGCAGTGAAGGAAGACAGTAAGTTCGGAGGCGAACGGCAATTCCACTTTAAGCAGGCTAAGTCGGAGGCATCCTCTCGCTTCCCGATTCCCAATATAGAATCAATACAAAATCTTCTCACTTCTGCTTCCTGAATATTTTTAAACCTATCCACTTCTCTTTGCCCCCACTGCTACTCTGAATTTCAAGCCAGCAACATAGTTTTTTAAATTCATTTATTAAAAAATTATTGTCATTGAAATAGAATTGATATACAATGTTATGTTAGTTTCAAGTGTACAACATATTGATTCTGCAATCCTATACATTACTTGGTACTTACCAAGATAAATGCAGTCACCATCTGCCAACACACAATGTTATTGTAATATTATTGGCTATATTCTCTATGCTGGGCTTTTCATCTCCGTGACTTACTTACTTATCCATTTAAAAAAAAAAAAACTTCATCTTCCAAATTTTGTTAAATATATTTAGAGAAGTTCTCATAATTCTTATCCTTGCTCTCTAAGGTATTCTTCCCCCACCCCGGGTTCTTCAATATCACATGCCTCTGTGTAGACTTTTTCTTTTTTTGTTGTTTATTTATTCATTTTGAGAGAGGGAAAGAGAGAGAGCCTGAGTAGGGGAGGGGCAGAGAGAATCCAAAGCAGGCTCTGCTCTGTGCTGACAGCACAGAGCCCGATGTGGGGCTCGATCTCATGAACAGTGACATCATGACCTGACCTGAAATCAAGAGTTGGATTAACCAACTGAGCCACCCAGACACCCCTAGATTTTTTTATTTGATATTTATCATGCTCACTCTCTGACCTTCCTGGATCTGTGGTTTGGTGTTTGTCAATAATTTTTGAAAATCCTCAGCCATTATTACCTCAAATATTCCTTCAGCTCCTTTCTTTACTTCCTGCTAATCAATTAAGTGTATGTCACACCTCTTGAAATTGCCCCATAGTTCATAGGTATTCTGTTCTGAGCTTTATTAAAATTTGTTTTTCTCTTTGAATTTCAGTTTGGGAGGTTTCTCTTGACTTATGCTTATATTCACTGATTCTTTCTTTGACCATGTCCAGTCTACTGATGAGCTCATCTAAGGCATTCTTTATTTTTGTTACAGTGTTTTTTAATTTCTAACATTTCCTTTAGATACTTTTGTAGAATTTCCATCTCTCTGCTTACATTTACCCATCTGTTCTTGAATATTGCCTGCTTTTTCCAGGCAATGGGTTATGCCCTTAACGTATTAATCATGTCTTTTCTTTCAAAACTGTCATATCTGAGTCTGGCTCTGATACTTGTTTTTTATCTTAAGACTAGGTTTGGGTTTTTTGTTTGTTTGTTTGTTTGTTTTGCTTTTAATGTGCCTTATAATTTTTTTGTTGAAATTCAGGCATAATGTATTGTGTAATGGTACTGACATAAATAGCCTTTAATATGAGGTTTTGTTTTAATCTGGCTGGAAGTTGGGCTGTATGTAATGTTTGTGGTAGCTGTAGGTGTCAAAGACTTCACATTTTCCTAGTGTCCTTGATTTTTGTCTCCCTTTTGTCCCTCCTATGCCTTAAGTACTACTCATCAGAAAGAGTCTACATCTTGCAGATCCTTCATTTAATAATCCACTCTTATTATACTGAAGTCTGATGGCATGGTGGTAAGGTGTGACATAGGGGATGCATTCTATAATCTTATGATTAAATCTTAGTTTTTTGTGTTTTTTTTTTCAACGTTTATTTATTTTTGCGACAGAGAGAGACAGAGCATGAACGGGGGAAGGGCAGAGAGAGAGGGAGACACAGAATCGGAAACAGGCTCCAGGCTCTGAGCCATCAGCCCAGAGCCCGACGCGGGGCTCGAACTCACGGACCGCGAGATCGTGACCTGGCTGAAGTCGGACGCTTAACCGACTGCGCCACCCAGGCGCCCCTAAATCTTAGTTTTTTAGTGGGCCTGTGTCCTTAACAGTGTTTCATACCACCTCCCTTTTGGTAACATGGAAAGGCTTAAGAAGGCTCAAGTAAGAGAAGGGCCCTTTCCCCAGATGGGATAAGACTCTGATTAAAGTCTTTTCCCCTGGAGAGCAGGCCTTTGTTATAGAGACAGCTCTGTTTGGAGAATACTCTATTATGGACAATGCAATATTTACTCTCCTCTCCCCTGCCAGAACCATAAGATCCTGGTGGGATTCATGGAGGTAAAAACCCATGAAAGTGTGGGTTCCCCCTTAAGACTATGATCCCAGAAGTCTCTCCTTCTCAAGGTGGACCACACTCAGCCTCCAGCAGTTCATCAAAATTACCATTTAAGTGAATGGAGTTTCTCCTCCAGGTAAATAGATCTTGGCTGTGCTTCTCTGGCTTTGCCAGTCTCTCCAGATTTTGGGTGGCAGTTTGCCCTGCAACCTCAGTTGTCTAAATCTAAGAAGAGCCATTGTTTCTCAATTTGATCACCTTTTTCTTATTGTTAGGATGGGAATGACAAGATCCAAGCTCTTTACATGTCAGAACTTAAACCCAAAGTCTGATGAGGTTTTTAAACTATGATCTTGTAGCTTATCTGGCTGATTCTCACTTTTAGGGCTGGTGAAACAATCTTTTGTAACTTTCTTCAACCTAACCAGAAGTAAAAGCCTAGGGCTTGAGTGACTTTTAAATTTCTTTTAATTTGAGTAGAGTTGACACTCAGTGTTACATTAGTTTCAGGTATACAACATAGTGATTCAACATCTCCATACATTATGCTGTGCCTACCCCAAGTGCAGCTACCATCTGTCATCATAAAACACTATTACAATACCATTGACTATATTCTCTGTGCTGTTCCCTTTATTCCCATGATTTATCCACTCCATCACTGCAAGCCTGTATCTCTCACTCCCCTTCACCCATTTTGCCCATCCCCCCACTCCCCTCCCCTTTGGCAGCCATCAATTTGTTCTGTTTTTATAGGTCTGATTCTGCTTTTTGTTTGTTTGTTTATTCATTTGTTTTGCTTTTTAAATTCCACATATGAGTGAAATCACACGGTATTTGTCTTTCTCTGTCTGATTTATTTCACTTAGGATAATGCCTTCTAGGTCCATTCATGTTGTCCAAATGGCAAAATTTTATCTTTTTTGTGGCTGCACAATATTCTGTTATACACACACACACACACACACACACACACACACACACCACGTCTTCCTTATCCATTTGTCTATCAGTGGACACTTAAGTTGCTTCCATATTTTGGCTATTATAAATAATGCTGCAACAAAATAGGGGTACATATATCTTTTCAAATTAGTGTTTTAGTTTTCTT